TAGGTTGGGCAATGGTGGAACTTCGGGTAGGTTGGGCAATGGTGCAGCTTCGTCTCGTTTGGGCAATGGTGCAGCTTCGTCTAGGTTGGGCAATGGTGGAACTTCGGGTAGGTTGGGCAATGGTGGAACTTCGGGAAGGATCCTCGCAGGATCCACAGGCGAGATCCATTGCAGGGAGCTACATACAGGCGGGATCCACGAAGTAGTTCTACATGTTGAAGAACTTGTTCCACTTCTTGAAGCAGTTGTACCAGTACGAGCACCACCAGCGGAACCGACACCGCCGGGGGCACATTCACGACGTCGAGACTCTTGTTGTTGCTTTCCATCTTCATCTTGGGTTCCAGCTTCATCTTGGGAACAATACTTGAAAACAGGAGAAGCACTTCTTCCAGGGAGTGCAATTCCGGCAGCACCCGCAGTTCTCGTGTGTTTTCCTTGTTTTGGTCGAGGTAGTTGAAAGCCTGCTGGACGAGCAGGAGGTCCTTGAGAAGCATAGCAATATTCTCTGCCTTCCTCCAAAGCTGCCGAGTAATGGCCTTCTTGCTCCAAAGCAGAGCTGTAATAGTTGTCCTGCTCAGGTGGACCCTCCAAAGGCAAAGCAGAGTTGCTGGAATTATAGTTGTCCTGTTGAGCAGGATTTTGCTCCAAAGCAGAGGGGCTCCCGTAATAGTTGTCAAGAGGAGGATACTTCGAAGCACAGGAGCTCCTGTTGTTCTGAGCAAGAGCAGAGTAATACTTCTTCTGAGTAAGAGCAGGATCCTTCGAAGCAGAGTTGCTGTAATAGTTGTCCTGCTCAGGACCCTCCGAAGCAGAGTTGCTGTAATAGTTGTCCTGCTCAGGACCCTTCGAAGCAGAGTTGCTGTAATAGTTGTCCTGCTCAGGACCCTCCGAAGCAGAGTTGCTGTAATAGTTGTCCTGCTCAGGACCCTTCGAAGCAGAGTTGCTGTAATAGTTGTCCTGCTCAGGACCCTTCGAAGCAGAGTTGCTGTAATAGTTGTCCTGCTCAGGACCCTTCGACGCAGAGTTGCTGTAATAGTTGTCCTGACGAGCAGGATCTTCCTCCAAAGCAGAGTTGCTGTAATCAAAGTAGTAGTCACTTCTAGATTGTTTGATCGAGGAAGAGGAACGCGGAGTAGATGGTGGAAGAAGTAATTGCTCCCCCCCTGATAGATGAAGTAGTCCAGCTTTCTTGTTCTCGTTTAAGCGCTGCCGTTGTAGTTGTCGCGCTCCTTTTAAGCGCTGCCGTTGTAGTTGTCGCGCTCCTCCTTGTAGCGCTCTTGGTAGTGCTTCTTCTGTGAGTTCTTCTTCTTCATCTGTGAGTTCTTCTTCTTCTTCTTCTTCTTCTTCTTCTGTGAGTTCTTCTTCTTCTTCTTCTTCTTCTTCTTCTGTGAGTTCTTCTTCTTCTTCTGTGAGTTCTTCTTCTTCTTCTTCTTCTTCTGTGAGTTCTTCTTCTTCTCCTTCTTCTCCTTCTTCTTCTTCTTCGTCTGTGAGTTCTTCTTCATCGTCCTCCTGGAACAACGCTCGCTTCACATGAGAGTAGTTCTCATCATCATATCTTTGTTTTTCTCGTACTTCTTTTTCTGCTTCTAGCCCGTCAAGTTGTTCATTTAGATGAAGTTCTGCTTCTTCATGATCTAGAAATAGCGCTCGCCTAGGAGGTGGCGTTTGGAAGCAATCCTGCTTGAAGGCAGAGGAGCGTTGATGAGGTGGGGTTTGATGTAGATGAGAGGGAGCTAGTGCTTCATCGTCATCGTCCTCTTCTATTTCTGAAAGCTGTTGGTCATCTTCGTGTTGTTCTTCTCGAAGTAGTAGCTGTTGTTCATCGTGTTGTTCTTCCGGAAGTAGCTGTTGTTCATCGTCAACTTCTGGCAAGTGTTGGTCATCTTCGTGTTGTTCTTCTCGAAGTAGAAGTAGCTGTTGGTCATCTTCGTGTTCTCCAGCAGCTGCATCGCGGCTTTTTTGTGCGGCTTCATCTCCACCTGGCTGCTGTAGTTCTTGTGCTGCGCCTTCATCTCCTGTCTGTTCATGGGAGTCCTCGTGCTTCTTCTCAGCATATAGTTCATCTTGTTCTTCCACCTTGTTCTTCCACCTTTGTTCAGCTACCTCTTCTACACCACGACCTAGTACAAGAGTTCCTTCTTCTCCCTCATCTGCTTCCACTTGAAGATCCTCATGTTCTTGTATCTTTCTTTTTATGTTGGCACTATAACTATTAGTGTCACTTCTTGCAGTCGTTGCGGGACGAACTTTTGAAGAAATATCTTCACTTCTTGATGGAGTTGCAGAAGCTTTTGATGAAGATGAAGATGATGCACTAATTGTTCTTGGTCCTATATCTGCTGGCCTGTGACGGTGGTCCAGATAGAGTAAGTCGCTCAAGGTCTCAAATTCCTTCAGAGAGCGCCATCTCTGTAGCAAGAGCAAAGGGTCCGTTGCTATATTTTGTAGGGGCGCCGCGACTAGGTCTAGGGGGTCTTCTACGTTGTGGTCTCGTCCTTGATCATCTTCAGTAAAATTTTTATGCTCAACTACGAGTTTTTGTTGTTGTTGTTCTTGTACTCTCTCTGCTAGCTTGAGCGCTGCTGTCCCTTCCGCGGCTAAGTTTGTCAACCGAAGAAGCTCCAGTACATTTTCAATTCGGTTGCTTCTACTTTTTTGATGTCCAACCGTTGACGAGGGTCCAACCGTTGACGAGTTCGCCCAAATTGAAGAAGATGTCTCACAAATTGAGGAAGATGTCGCACAAATTGAAGAAGAAGATGAAGAGATGGAAGCCAATCCTCGTGACAAGGAGTGGTCTACTGCTTCATTTTTCACGTAGACCGGGTCTGCTTCTGCTTCTGGCCAAGACTTCTTATATGGAGGAAATGAAACAACGCCCGCTGACACGATATAAGAGAGGAAAAAGCGACCCCTCCGTTGCGAGAACTCTTTCTCCTCAGGCAGAGGGTCCACGACCTCGCGGTTGTCGTGTCCTCCCTGCACCAGATTGCTCGAAATAAGCCTTGCGGAAGAACTTGGGATCTCGGAGAGGAAGCCGCTCTGGTTGAGCCTTGAGGAAGGACTTGGGATCTTGGAGAGGAAGCCGCTCTGGTTGAGAAAAAAATCGATCTCCTTCCGGATATCGCAACTTCGCGCATTTCCGAAAATCATGCATGATGGAGATGTGTTATCCTTCGATTCATCTACTTGAGAAGGTTCTGAAGTTCGCGAATTATGAGCAGCCGCCGTAGCCGAAGAATGGTCTCCTTCAGCGTGTCGTGTATGTGTATGTGTGTGCGTGTAATATGGCATCCATTCTTTGCCACGTTTCACTTTGTTCTTCGTTAACAAGTAGCCCGACTCCCGCTGAATGTAGTCCGAAGCAAAAGAGGGGGAAATGGACGCTATCCAGTCGAGCACACGAGCCGCTCTGTCCGCTGTGGAGCGCGCGATCTCGATTGCCCTCTTCAAAGAACCAGCAGCTTCCTTCCGCATTTTCCCCAAACTAGCAGCTTCCTCTTTTTCGGAAGATTTCCCTAATTCTTGTCCTAGTTTATCAACAGCAGTGACAACGTCAAGCTCACCTCGTGTAGTGTCTGTTCTCGTCTTCTTGGAGCTCGTGGTCGCAGCGGTAGCGGGCGTCTTCAACATCTCTAGTACTTTTGTAGTTGTGCTCGACGTCGAGGAGGACCTTGCAGCTTCTTCGTCTTTTCTACTTGAAGTAGAGTGATCGACGTCGGCCCCGTGAAGATGAACAGTAACTAATCGATTTAATGCTGAGACCAAGCGATAAAGTCGCTTAGAGGCACGATACAACGTTGGAGCGAAAGTCAAGTGGAGCCAGCGTGCGCAGGTCGGCACCAACTGTCGGCCGACATCCCAAGACTTGGACTTCTGCTCCTCCTTGGACTTGTAGTGCGAATGATGAACAGAAGACTCCTTCTTGTCATCGTTGTGCTGCTGGGTTCCCTGCTCCTCTACTTCGGGAGCTGGTCGTGTAGGAAATCCTCTTACTACGGTGTCGGCGGCACCGGCAGGTCGTGGAGGGAGGGTTTCATCTGGCAGTAACCACTTCGATACATCATGATCATTAGAGCTCAAAATATAATTGTAATTCATTTCTTGCCTTCCTTTCTTCAGAATCCTAAGAAGGAAACCGAAGAAAGTGACCCTCGGAAATGAATTGCATCGAGCCTTAAGATTTTCTCTATCGTGGTGGTGTTGATTTTGTTTGAAAGCGGCAACTCGTTCTCGGTGTTCTCTAGCTGAGGAGCTAAAGAAGCTGCGGCGCAATTTGGGGGCACGCCCTGCCGGCTCATACGCCGTCCAGCCGCCGAAGTAACACGCCTCTGCGAAGTGTAAACCGTCAGGCGCACTCGTCTGCTTCCTGTAGTTCAGCGTCGACGTTGGCCAATGCTGGTGGTAATAGACGAGCGCACCCAGATGTGCTCGTTTCTCATTCTCAAAGCCCATCTTTCGCGCTATCTGAAAAGTGCTCTCCAGGTCGTTCGTCCACGGATTTGGAGTCGACAATGCGTCATAAAGTCCCTGAGCGTGCTGCCACGTCTCCTCTAAGGACGCGAAATACACGTGGTCTACATCCTCGTCCTCCTCTTCGTCTTCGTGGTCCGCAATTTTTGTTGTAGCAGCATTTCTACCTTCTTCTTGATGTGGAGCAGCTTCTTCTTGATGTGCCGGATCACTTCCACCTGCTGTAGAAGTACCTGCTGTAGGTTGTGGAAGAAGACCACGAGCACGAGGTTCTTCTTCTTCCTCGTCTTCAGCCATTGCAGGACTCCTCTTTCCCGCCAAGAAGAAGGCCTCTGTCTTTTGGGATTTTTTGTCTTCTTGCTCGATTTCGTCCATTAACTCATGAGTGAGCATGAAATCCTTAACGAAGCGCCGCCCTCGTCGACTAGGGTCGTGCCTCACCTCGTCTCCGAGCTTCAACAAAAATTCTTCAATCGTGGAGGGATTCACTACGACCTCTTTATTAGCACCAGCACGTAGTTCTTGATGTAGATACAACCCAGGCAAGTTAGGTGGGAAAGAGAGAAGCTCGGCCTTAGCTCCCTGCTCCAGGGCCACGCATGCCCGTATGCAACTCTCAGCTGCAGGCGTCAACAACTGTTGTTGTTTTTGTGGTGATGTTGTTTCTGTTGAGGACACTTGCTTTCGCGACACTTCCTCAGGATCAGGACGTACGGGAGCACTAGAAGTGGCGGGAGCAAGCAGGTCCTTCAGCACGTTATCAATCGCTTTATTAAGTTCTCTGGCTTGCTCGAGCAGCGGCTTCTTCTTCTCGAACCTTCGCGGGTTTGCTATTGATGCTGGGTAGTTTGTGCTTGTACTACTAGTAGCACTAGTATAATTCTGAAGATGAGGAAAGTGCTGCGTTAGAAGTGTGTCGCTCAGCACCTGAAACGAGTGAAATGTAGAGGAGCACGCCTCTTCGGTCTCCCGTACGGCGTTTCTCCAAACGAGGTAGCCACCACACAGGAAGGAAGCTGACTCACGCCACAGGGCCTGCGTTCTCGATGGTACGGCCGCGTCTCGTCCCCACCCATCTGCTCCTGAGGAAGTAATGCCCAAAGCCGTTGCCAACACTGGCACGACAAAATCCACGCACTTGGTCTTAGAGATCTTGTTCAGGAGTTGTGAAGCTGAAGATGGTCTAGTACTGGTACTCCTGGTTCGTCGTCGTACACTCTCTCCAGTCGAACTACTCTCATCTCCAGTCAAACCTTGAGGATCCCCCACGCTCTTGTTGAGGGGTAGTTGCAGAGATGAAGCAGGGTCCTTTCCTTGACCGATTTCCTTGAAGACGTGGTACCAGAATCGGTGATCCTCCCCGCGAAGTTTCCTCTGCTGCTTTAGCTCAGCCTCCTCTTCCTGCACCGTCACGTTGAGCCGTCTAGAGGCCTTCTCCACAAGTTCGCCTAGTGGTTCCTCGTCCAATATGCGACGGCCACGTCTACTCCAAGAATAAGAGTAGAGGAAACGCAAAGTCCTCTGAGGACCATCATCATCTGAGTCTCCCTCATGTTCGTGTAGTTGTGGACCTCCTCCAACCACATCATGTTCTTGATCGTGATGACCTTGGCGACCTTGTTGACCATGTTCTTGAAGAAGACCTTGTTCGTGATGACCTTGATGGCGACCTTGTTGACCATGAAGAAGATGATCTTTTATCGCAGTACTAGCTCTAGTACTAGTTCTTGTACTAGTTTTCTTCGTCGACTTGTGGTCAGGAGATGAGAGTTCCCAGGGACCTCCAAGTGACAGTAATGGAAGCCTCTCCTCAAGCATTTTACTGTGATAGCGCGAAAAACTGATGATACTTGCTACTCGAGGAAGCAATCGGTAAAGCATATTCTTCAGGCGTCCGACAAGAGTCGCTCCTCTACTTTGAGGAGAAGTCGTGCTTCGATTCACCCCTGAAGAAGAAGATTCAGGACGAGGCTCCACATTTTTACGTGAATCTGAATTGTCCTCGTCGTCTTTAATAGTAGCTGCAGCACTTTTCTCGCGACCCATCTTCCCATTCAAGCCCTTGTTCAACATCTCCAAGCTGTTGATGTTCTCTTCGAAACCTGAGTAGTTTGCAACTTGTTTATCAGCTTCTTCGCCTATCGTCTCCTCCAAACTGTTCTTGGTGTTTTCTTGAACAAGGTTCTTCTCTCCAATTCCCCCTGAGTTTGCAGCTTGTTCTTTCAAACCGCCGCTCGGATTGAAGATGGCGGCTTCTTCCTCCCTTTCCGCGTTACTAGGGTTAATACTAGGGTTCAACAGGATTTCTTCCTTCCTTTCCGCGTAGTCACTGGGGTTAAAAATACTAGGGAGGTTCACCATCATACGTTCTTCTACATCCACGTAGTTGGTAAAAAACGTCGTCCCGGTTTGCATCTCACCCGCAGGTTCATGCAATAAATTAGCCTCTCCTTCTATAGAAGTTCCTAGTAGTCCTCCTTCAAAGCCTCTTGGCGTTATACTTGGAGCGGCCTCTCCACGTAGAGGTCCACCTCCTTGTTCCCGTCCTCCACTGCTTTGCATTTTGTACCATCTATCGCGAGTCCTCCTCATGATCCTGTTGTGCATGTTGCGGTCCTTCTCACCCACAAGAGAGAGATAAATGCGGCTCATCTGTTCCGAAACCTCGAAACGGTCCAAAGGCAGGGACGGCAGTGACCCGCCCTGCCAGAGTCCTGCTCTACTCATAGCGTAATGATCCCCTGGCGGGAGCAGAAAATTGACCCAAAAATTCGACTCAGCGAAAGAGAAAAAATCCGACTCAACATCAAGAAAAAGTTTCGATTTCTCTGCCTCCGTTTCTGTGAAAACAACGCCAGTATTGCGCAAAATGAGTGAAGCGTTGGCGGAAAGACTTTCGACAAATCGGCTACTACATCTACTATCTTCGCCCCAACCTTCAAAGCGATATAGCAACGAGTCACTTTCTGCAATTATTATCGGATCTACCTTCCTGCTCCACCCATTTTCCTGCTCCAAACTTTTCCTCGAGATAGCCTGAATATTTGCGGACGTTCTTGCAGGAAGTCGTTCAAGAGGTTCATCTTCCGAGGAAAGAGCAACCGGAATGATGAACCTGAAAAAGTTTTTGAAGATGCTATGCAAGTGCAGCACAACATCGCCACCGCTTCCGCGGTCTTCCTCCACCTCCTGCTCCTGCTCTACTCGATTGACGACCCTCCTGGCAGCAGCTGCACCTCGACTTGTGATAGTACGTCGCTTCCGCCTCCTCCTCCTTATTCCACCCCCGGTCCCGGTGCCTGTGGTTTTGCTCCTACTAAATAACGTCGACCCGCTGAGAACATTTTCATCTTCGTCTACGCATGATCCATCCACATGTGGTCCTTGCACAAGAACTACATCCTCTCTTTTTCGTAGCAATCTTCGTTTTCGTCCTCCAGTTCCTCCTGCTTGAGATGCGGCTGTCTGAGCTGCTGCCCTTTTGGCGCTACTTCTTCTATCATCCGCAGATGCTTCGTCGAGCAGTATTTGTGGTCCGCTCCTGTCGTGGTCGGCTTGTGGTGACGACGACGACCTAGCAAGTCTTGCGGACGACGACCTGGTCGTGGACCTCATCCGCCCCAACTTAGTCGGCAGTTCGCGTTCCACCTCGTTTTCCTCTTTCTCTTCTACAGTCAAGTCTTCCTCTCGTTCCTCCTTCCCTTGTTGACCAGGGTTATGGAAACGCTCCAGCGCCGGAACCGCCATACGGAGGAGGAGGAGACCAGACGCAACAGTCTGGAGCACTCCTTCACTTCTCTTGCTGTTCTTCTTCTTCAAGATGTCCTCATTGTTGTTGTTCTTCTTCAAGATGTCCTCATTGTTGTTCTTCTTCAAGATTTCCTCAGCTGCTTCACCGGAACTTCTACGTGCTCCTCCTTCATCTTGTTTTCCCAGGAGAGGACGTTGAAAGATCAAGTTTTCTGCAAATACGTCGGCTACCGTCGAGGCAAAAGATGCTACCATATTCTCTTTATCAAACCAAAGTTGTTGTTCCATCTTTTTAGAGGATGAAAAAGAACCATCTTGTCCTTGTTGACCTTGCAGTTGAGCTTGTTCTGCACCTTCTTGTTTCATGTCCTGTTCTACTATCCTCTTCGTCTCAGCCGTGTTGTACAGAACTGAACCTAGCTCCTCAAACCCTTCCTCCGCAAGTTGACGCCGTGAACGATATACCTCAAGCAGGCGCTCGAGAGTCTGATGCTGAAGATCATGTTCTTGTGCTGCAGTTGTGGAGCTGGAGAGCAGGGAGGTAGTTGTACTTGTGGCACTTGTTCCGATTAAATTCTCCGTCAGGAAGCGCAATTGCTCAAGGTCATCTGCATCTTCTTCATCTTCTTCTGGATGTAGTATTTTGTCGGAGGAGGAGGTGTCAACAACGTCAGCAACAACATTGGTATCGGAGGAGGTGTCAACAACGTCAGCAACAACATTGGTATCGGATTCGGAGGAGGTGTCAACAACGTGGTCAACAAGAACAACATTGGTATCGGAGGAGGTGTCAACAACGTCAACAGCAACAACATTTTTGGTACTATTCTTGTCAACTACAGCCGGAAGACCACTCGGTGGAATGGCAAAGCGCGCTGAGATTTCCCTTTTATACTCTCTGTTGATATGCGACGCGTGCCTGACCAGCCCCAAAACAAATTTTTGCAGTTCGCTCTTCGTTCCGAGGACACTCATCCGGCTCTTGTTGTAGAAAGAATCTGCGAGCGCGCTCAAGACCGGTAAGACACGTTGCGCGTAGAGCCGTTTCACATTCTCGAAAGAGCCAATTTTCATATTCTTCAGGGCGGAAGTTTCAGTTTCAGAATAGTTTTTAGCATTAGCACTGGGATCATCAGAGAGAGCAAACGCCTCGTGCATCGCCCGAATAAAGAGCAGTGGCACCCATCCTTTTGAAGCAGAGCTCTCCGCACCACGACCCTCGTCCCCATGTTGACAGAGTGATTCCAAGACAGTGTCATCGTGGTCTTGTTCAGCATTGCTAGAACAGGATGCGTCTACTGAAGGGCAAGGTTGCGGAACACAAGCAGCGTCTTCTTTACCTGTCGCGGCCTGAAGCCAGGAAGAACAGCAAGAGGACACCGCTTCCTCAGAAAAAGAACTTAGAGTGTCTTCGTCTTCCCCGCTAGGAGTTGCACCAGAAGTAGACCCTCCCGTAGTTTCCAGCGACTCATTCCCGTCACTATCGTCCTTGCCTACAT